CAGGTCCCCATCCGTTCTTTGTCTTGATGGCTGGCTCACTTATCTTCAGAACACTTCTTAAAACTCCCTGAAATGATCTGCTCGTTTCTTTGTTTACTTTTTTATTGCCTGATTCCTCCATGATGACGTCAGCCCCACAAGGAGAAAGACTGCCCATCTTATCGTATCTCAGGCAGCCAGCACACAGCAGATGCTCAGTAACTATTTGATGAATGCATAGTGAGGTCTTAATGATTCCTTTCTTTTTCTTTTAATAGTTTCCCACTTAAAAAATTAATTTTAATTAGACAATTAACACATTATTATACTCTTTACATTTTTCCTTACCGTTAAGTTTATGGTTAAAGTTCCCATTGACCTCCATGCTGGACACTCCCTACGGTGACCATGTAACAGATTTGGCTTGTATCCTTCCAGACTCATTTCTGTGCACTTATACACATAGAAATGCATAATGCTGTTTTTGATATTGTGTGTGTGCATGTGTGTGTGCTGATATAAATGGTGGATCAGACAGGGCTTAGAGTTGAAGTGACATAAACAACTGAGTAATTGGGATGGTTACATTTTACCTGTCAACTTAGCTAGGCTATGGTGCCCAGTTGCTTGGTCAAACACTAGTCTAAATATTGCCTTGACGGTATTCTGTAGATGTGATTAACACCTACGCTCAGTTGACTTTAAATACAGGAAATTATGTGGATGGGCTTCGTCTAATCAGTTGAAGGCCTTGAGAGCAAAAACAAGTTTCCTGGAGAAGAAATTCTGCCTCAGGATTATAACATAGAAATCCTGCCTGCGTTTGCAGCCTGCTGGCTGCCCCGCAGATTTCAGACCTGCCAGCCTCCACAATTCCTAAAATGTATATAAGTATAAATAAATATATCATATTGATTTTGTTTCCCGGGAGAACCTTGGCTGATACAAGAATGTAAACACACAAGCAGTCTATTAAATGTACTTTGGGGAGTTAGGGGAAGGACAAGAAATCCAATAGACAAAAAGGGCAAAGATTTGAGAGGCATTTCACAAAAGGACATACCCAATGGCCAACATGCAAAGGTGCTTAACATTATTGATCATCAGTGCAAGTCCAAACCACAGTGGGACACCACTATGCACCCACTAGGATGGCTAAAATGAAAAGGATGGAAAATACCCAGACTTGACGAGAAGGTGATCCGGAAGAAACTCTCACACATGGCCGGCAGGAACGCAAAATGATGCAGGCACTTTGGAAAAGCTGACAGTTTCTAATAAAGTGAGATGCGCACTTACCATATAAGCCAGCCATAGGTCTATACTTCACAGAAATGCAGACAGATGATTACCAAAAGACATGCACAAGAAGGTTCCTAGCAGCCCTGTTTCATAAATAGCCCCTAATAGAAAGTACACACATGCCCATCAGGAGGAGAGGGAGTGAATGAACCGAGTCAGATTCAGACAATGGAATATGGCCCAGCAATGAGGATGAATGGAACCAACCACGTGGATGGTTCGCAAAGAAATTAACATTCACAGAAAGGGGCCAGACACAGACATATAGTGTTTGATTCCATTTCTGTAAAGTACTAGAAACACACACACTACCCTTGGTTACCCTTGGGGAAGTCGTGACTAGAAGAGGGCACAATGGGAGCGTCTGGGGGACGGGAATGCTGTTTCTTTGTGTGGGGCTGGTAACACGGTGTGCTCACTTATGAAGATTTATCAAGTTACCGCGTATCTCCTGTGCGTTTTTCTGAAGGTATGCTGTACTTGAGTGAAAAGTTCAAATTGAAATAGGGGACTTAGGGAGCTGGGGAAAGTTGGAGAACCAGGTTTCAAGGTCAGCAGGGAGAGTGCCCCAAATCATTCCACAGGCCTGGGTTAGGTAAGACATCTCTACCGGCCCCTGGACTGGCCCTGCTTCCAAGATGTGTCTGATTTAGTGGAGCCTGGATCATGTGACCAACCACTAGCTGCAAGGGAGGCTGGAAAGAGTGAGCATCGAGCAGGTTCAATATCTATGGTGGAGCGGGGCAGACCTCAGGCCACTGCAAAAAAAGCTTAGCCCTTCCTCAGTCGATGGATATTTAGGTTGTTTCCAATGACCACCTTTGCACATACTCCTGGTGCCTGATGTTTCTCTAAGGAAGACTCCAAACAATGGAATTGCTGAGTTCTAGAAAATGTGAATTTACAGTTTTACTGGATACTGTAAAATTGTCTTTCTAAGAGGCTATACCAATTTATACTCCCACCAGCCATATATGACTGTGGCCATTTCCCCAGTTTCCTAAACACTTTACATTATCATTCTTTTATTTCGGTCAACCTGAGCAGTGGACAATGGTACCTAATCATTTTTTAAATTTGCATTTGTCTGGTTACCAGCAAGGGTGGACATCTTGCCTGTCTATTTGCCATAAATATTTCATTTTCTGTAAACTGCCTGTTCCCATCTACTACCCCGTTATTCTAATAGGTTGGGGGGTTTTTTCTTATTGTTCCATAGGGATTTTCATATATGATGGAAATAAATCATTTGTCTACGTTTATGCTGCAAATATTTTACCCAGGTTGTCACTGTTCTTTTAACTTTAGAGTGGCCACATGCTGTTCCCCAGGCTCATGCCTTTTCTGAGACTGGGAAGTAGATTTTGAGGGGAAGGGGGTGGGGAGAAAGAGGAAAGGGGATCTCTGGCCTTACCCCATTTTGTTCCCACTCGCCCTGAGTACATTGTGTAACATCCCTACCAGTCATCCTTTCATTTCCTTGTTCTTGTCACCAATAGAATATAGTATTCGAGCCCCAACCATAGGACTTTTTTTTAACTTTCACTTTGCAATTTTCTTCAAGTAAGAAGTTTACAGAACTTGGTGTGGAGAAGAGTAATTCCCAGGGCGCTTAGCACTCTCAGTGTCCCTGGTGGGGAGACAGCCAGGCTGAGCAGGGTGTCATTCATTTATTGGCCTTGTGAATAAAGAAATTAGATTAATTACAGGAATTTGCAAATTCTTTCAGAAGCTGCCAATAGTGGGCAAATGGGATGAATGGTATAAAGTCATGTGGTAAGCAAATGGCCTGGAGGTGAAACTCAGAGATGGTTGAAATTACCCTTGAAAATCCTTTTTGTCACTCATAAAAGGGCAAGAGAACATGGTTTAGTGCAGGGGTCCTCAAACTTTTTAAAAAGGGGGCCAGTTCACTGTCCCTCAGACGGTTGGAGGGCCGGACTATAGTTTAAAAAAAAAACTATGAACAAAATCCTATGCACACTGCACATATCTTATTTTGAAGTAAAAAAACAAAATGGGAACAAATACAATATTTGTATTTGCATGTGGCCCGCGGGCCGTAGTTTGAGGACCCCTGGTTTAGTGAATACAAATACAAGTGTAATGCATAAAGTCAGGGGTTGGCAAACTACAGTCTTTGGGCCAAATCTGGCCCCCCACTTGTTTTTGTAAATAAAGGTTTATTAGTACACAGCCACACCTATTGGTTTCACATTTTCTATGGTTAGAAGAAAAAAATGAGTAGTTGCAACAGAGACCATATGGCTCACAAAGCCTAAACTATTTATTATCTGTTCTTTTAAAGAAAAGGTATACTGACCCTTGAACTAAATAACAAAGATATAATGAAGTTAAAATTTTATATATTTTTTTTAAATAGATAAAATAGAGAGATGAAAAAAAGATTTAAAATATTATTTGGCCAACCATGTATGGTTGAATCTTTCTAAGCTAAATGCATATATATAAGGTTCATAACATGATTAAGAGTGGAACTTTGGGTTCAGACAATTTTTTTAAATATATTTTTATTGATTTCAGAAAGGAAGGGAGAGGGAGAGAGAGAGAGAAACATCAATGGTGAGAGAGAATCATTGATTGGCTGCCTCCTGAACATCCCCCACTGGGGATCGAGCCTGCAACCTGGGCATGTGTCCTTGACTGGAATCGAACCCGGGACCCTTCAGTCCACACACTGATGCTCTATCCACTGTGCAAAACAAGCTAGGGCCAGACATTTAATTTTTTAAAAAATTTTGCTGCTGCCTAGCTCAGTCCTCTTAGCAAGTTACTTTATGCCTCTCAACCCCCACTTTCTCATCTGTAAAATGAAGTACTGACCTCATAGGGTTGTATGAATATTGAGTGAGTAAGGAAGGCTCTTAGAACAGTGCCTGCACCCTGGCCAGGTGGCTCCGTTGGTTGGAGCATCATCCCATACACCGAAGATTGCACGTTCGATTCCCAGTCAGGGTACATACCTAGGTTGCAGGTTTGATCCCCGGTCGGGGCACATACCGGAGACAACCAATTTTTGTTTCTCTCTCTCTCTCTCTCTCTCTCTCTCTCCAATCAATAAAAATATATCCTCAGATGAGCATTTAAAAAATAAAACCAGGGTCTGCCTGGCACACAGTGAGTGCTGTATAATTATTTTTGTTATTATTATCATCCTTGCTGCACACAGAGGTCTAGATTGGTGCCATGACTATACAGTATTACTTCCCAGCCTTGTGGCCACGAGCTCATGACTTCCCCTCGCCGAGCCTCAGTCTTCCCATCCATAAATGGCAGCACAAGGCTGTCTATCACCTGGAATTGCTGTAAGGGCTGTGCTTAGCATAGCATCTGGCACAGGGTAGGCACTTAACACATGTCAGCTGTTATTGCCACTGTTCCCATTATTCCGACTTCCTTTCTGACCCCGAAGCCTCCTCACTGTCTGGAATTCAGCCCTCCTCCCGCTGCGAAAGGCAGGTCATGACTCTGGACCCGCTGTGTACCAGCACTGACTGTTTCCACCCAGCGGTTGTTTACTTAACTGTCCCCTTAAGTAACTCCCCTGCCATCAAAGGGCTGTTTACAAACCCCACAATTAGGCTTCCTGGAACAACAAATAAACACAAACCTAATTAGGCGTGTTTCTCCTGGCTCAAGGCACAGTGATCTAAAGGCTTGGGCACAGCAGCCACCAGTTAAATAAACAGTTGTGGGATGTATGGAGGAATGGATATATAGAGGGGTACATGGATGCGTGGATACATGGAATGGGTAAGTATGTGGATGGGTGAATGGATGGATGGATGGATGGATGGATGGATGGATAGATAAGTGATCAATTGATGGAAGAATTTATGGATGGGTAGATGTATAGATGATGTTTAAATTGATGGATAGATACATGAATGGAAGGATGGAAATATAGAAGGTGGAGGAATAAATAAATAGGCAGAGGAATAGAAGGTTAGGTAGATGGAAGTGTGAATGGATGGATGGATGGATGGATGGATGGATGGATGGATGAGTGAAGAGAAGAGCCAGATAGGATAATGGAAGGAAGGATGGGTAAACATTTGGATGGATGGGAGGATGGCTGGTAAGGGAGTGGATAGACAGATGAATGGATGGGTGAGTGGAAGTTAGTGAAATGCTGGAGGGAGAGGGTGGTGTGAGCTGAAGTTCTAAGCCCTTTCTGACATCTGGGCCCTGCCCTGTTCATTGCCATTCGATGTTACCACCCAGTAGAAGTGACTCCAGCCTTTCGGTGTCAGAATAACCTTGGGTTTGAATTCAGCCCCTGCCACATCCTAGCTTCGTGACCCTGAGCAAATCCTGTCCCTCTCTGGGCCTCAGTCTCCTCTGTAAAACCAACGCTAGTCACTGTCCTCACTTCTCAGGGTTGCTGGGGAGGTTAATGGGTTAAGTGCCGGGCCCTGTTCTCTGCTCCCAAGTGTAAATTCCCGTGCAGCCGCTGTTGACGGATTTCCCACATCCTGTGTTCTGGGGATTCACCTCAATAGAGGGGCCGAGGACCAGCCTGTGCTGGTGGCAAGGCCCTCCCACAGGGAGGCCGTCCCCTGAAGAGAGGGGCTGGTTCCCGCTGTGGGAGGCCACTTTGACACAAAACCCAAGACTTGGATCACCTCCCTGCCCAGCCCCCTGGATCCCAGCCTCAGGGCTCCACTCAGCTCTCCAGATCTGGGGGTGAGAATGGAGCCTGGCATGCGGACTGCCTCATTCCAGTCCCCCCTCCCACTTGCCAGCTGGGAACCTTGCGTGCGTGCATGCGTTACTCACCACTCTGTGCCTCGGAGAAATAAACGTCCCTACCTCATAAGATTATTGTGAGGGTTGAATGAGTTAATACAATAAAAGGTTTAGTACAGTGCCTGGCACACGGTAAGCATGGCTAGTTACTATTATTATTGCATCATCATAATAATAGTAATTACTATTATTGTTATTATTATTACCTCTCCCACTACCCCTTTAGCTTCTGGCCAGAGGACGCCTACGTTTCCCGAAGGAGATGCCCTCAGGCTGGGCTTGAAGGAACAGAAGGGCTCCAAGCGGAGGGCACCGCCTGGGCAAAGGCACAGAGTGGGAAAGCTCTCCTGGGAGCAAAGGGCTGGAGCGTCCCTGGCCAGGGGGAGGTGTGACTTCCAGTGGCAGAGGCTGGGCGGGGTGAGGTGAGTCAGTGTTTGGCTCCGCCAGGCCCTTGAAGAGCTGTTTCCCATCAAGCGGCGGGCGGGGCGGCTGCGGCTCCCTCTGGCCAGGGGTGAGGGTCTGAGTCAGCCGCAGTCAGGTAAGTGGAGGAGGATGTGGGGCTTTCCCACCTGCATGGAAGCCGTGTGAGCAGGGCAGGGCAGGGCAGCCTCCCACGGCAGGCAGGCGGGCAGGCGAGGCCTCTGCACCAGGTACAGCCTGGGTGCTGCCTGCCTCCACAGCTGACCCCAGGCCCCAAGTCCAGAGCGAGGCCTGGTTCCCTCTCCTCTACCTGAGACGTGGGGCAGGGCCCAGGACCCCAGCGAAGGGCCCTTCCTAGGGGAGGAGAGCTTTGGGGTCCAATGAGACCTGAGGAGGCAGGGAAAGCCTCCTTGAACAGAAGCTATTTGAACCAAGGCCTGTAGGGGGCGAGGAAGTGAGCAGTGGGTGATATCTGGGGAAAGTGTCCTGGGCAGGTACAAAGGCCCTGAGGTGGAGGCCTGGAGTTTTAGACGACAGTAGGAGACTGTCATGGCCAGAACCAAAGGGAGTGAGGGGGGAGGTGAGGGCAAGGCAGTGCTGGTGGAGGGCAGGTGTGTCACATTGTGCTGGCCAGGGTAGGAACAGCAGAGGTGGAGAGAAAAGGGTGTCAGTCAACAAGCCCTTCTTAGAGACCTACTGTGTGTGAGCCCTGTGCGGGAACTGTGGACACAGAGATCGTGAAGGCTGAGCCTTTGCTTGCAGTCCAGGAAACAGGAGGCAAATGAATGCAATTTTGGTGTGATTGGTGCTCAATGCAAAGTGTGAGTTGAGGGCACCTACTCCGCACAGGCCCTATCCACAGACTTTCTATGAAGTAACTCAACTTGTGAGAGAAGAACTATCATGAACCCCCATTTTACAGACGAGGAAACTGAGGCCCTCCTGGGGAGGCTAAGCAGCATGTCCCAAATTAAGAGCCCAGTAAGCAGCAGGCCGGGTTTCACACCCAGGTCTGAAGGGCTGCGGGCCTGGGCCCACCTGACTCCTCCGGTCGCCTGGTGGTCCTATGTAATCCAAGAGGGCGTCCTGCAGAGCTGAGGCTTGGCCGGGGTTCCCGGGCCACGTGCACAGAGCGGGCATTCTAGGCCTGGACAAGGCCTGAGCCAAGGCCTGGAGGGGAGACTGACCCGCTTAGCCAGTGTCTCCCAAACCTCACTTAAAAGTCATCCTTAAATCCATTCATACTTTTTACTAAGTAAATTGATGTTTTTGTTTGCTTGGTTGGTTTTTGTTTTGTTTTTATAGTTGATATACAATCTTATTTGAGTTGCAGGTGTCTAACACAGCGATTCCACATGTGTATGCCTTATGAAGTGATCACCACAATGAGTCTGGCAACCACCTTTCACCGTATAAAGTTATTATGATATTGTTGACACTATTCCCTATGTTGTACATTATATCCCTGTGACTGATTTATTTTATAACTGGAAGTTTGTGCCTCTTATCTCCCTTTACCTTTCTCTCCCATCCCTCAACCTTCCTCCCCTCTGGCAACATCAGTTTGTCCTCTGTATCTAGGAAATCTGTTTCTGTTTTGTTTTGTTTGTTCATTTGTTTTGGTTTTTAGATTCCACATGTAAGTGAAATTAGACCGCATTTGTCCTTCTCCATCTGGCTTATTTCACTCAGCATAATGCCTCCTACGTCCATCCATGTTGTCACAAATATAAGGTTTCACTATTTGTGGCTGAATAATATTCCATGGTACATATGTACCACATCTCCTTTATCCGTTCGTCCATCAGTGGACACCTAGGTTGCTTCCAGATCTTAGCTTTTGTAAGTAATGCTGCAATTAACATAGGGGTGCATATCTTTTCAAGTTTGTGTTTAGAATAGGTACCCAGCAGTGGGATTGCTGCGTCATATGGTAGTTCTATTTTTAATTTTTTTAAGGAACCTCCATATTGTTTTCCATAGTGGTTACATGCTTGGTTGGCTTTTAAAGAATAATTTACTGAGGTGAAATTCACATAACATCAAATTAACCACTCTAAAGAGAACAGTTCAATGGCATTTGGTACATTCACAATGTTGTGCAATCCCCTCCTCTAACTAGTTGGAAAACATTTTCACCACCCCAAGAGAAGACCCCCATTAAGCAGTTGCTTCCTGTTCCTCCATCCCCTCCACCCTGCCCTTCCCTGCCCTCGGCAACCACCAATCTGCTTTCTGTTTCTATAGATTTTTCTATTCTGGATATTTCATAGAAATGAAATCATACAACAGGTGCCCTTCTGTGCCTGAATTCTTTCACTTAGCATCATGTTTTGGAGGTTCATTTTGATTGTAGCATATGTCAGCAAAATGATTTTTAAAAGAAAATTTGTATTACTATCAGAAGGAAAAAAAAAGTGTTCATTTCTACAGATGGAAAGTAACGTTAAAAACAGTGCTCACAAAACAGCAGGATGAAATTCTAGCTGGACGCTGTGGCCTGGTGAGGGCTGAGGCCCGAGGCCTGCGCTGCCTCCGAGAGGGAGAGGGGCGAGCTTGGGGGAGAGGTTGAAGGCCTGCCAGCACCCACAGGCGGCTCTCCGTGGGCTAATCAAAGAATCACAGGGAACTCAGAGGGAGGAACGTCCTCCTCGGCGCCATCTGTTGTAGCTCATCGTGTGTTCGAGGCTTCTGAGATTTCCAGGGTAGATGTGGGGTGCGTGTGGCCCATGAGGGTGAGCCTCCCCAGTCCTTTGTAGGTGGGATCAGAGGGAAGGGCCAAGGATGGGGGGAAGCCACTGCCCCCGTCCAGACATAATCCGGAGAATTCCACACTAATTGACGTCTCCCCGTTTCCAGACGCTTTTGCCTCCATTAGACGGCACCGCGAACACCTGGTGAATCTCTGTACTCTCCATCCTGTTCTCCTGATGAATTTGCCCGTGTCTACGCCAGCACTGTTCGATTTTCTGTGCCTCTGTCATATGTGCCAATGTCTGGACCAACGAGTCCTCCGATCTGCTTTCTGTTCAATGGATGTTGGTTCTCCTTTTTCAGAATTGCCGTGGCTATTGCTGACTCTTTACTGTGACTCTAGATTTACAGTGATGGCGAACCTTTTGAGCTCGGCGTGTCAGCATTTTGAAAAACCCTAACTTAACTCTGGTGCCGTGTCACATATAGAAATTTTTTGATATTTGCAACCATAGTAAAACAAAGACTTATATTTTTAATATTTATTTTATATATTTAAATGCCATTTAACAAAGAAAAATCAACCAAAAAAATGAGTTCACGTGTCACCTCTGACACACGTGTCATAGGTTCGCCATCACTGCTCTAGAACATGCCTTTAACAGACAGGCCTAGAGATGGCAAGTGACAGACTGAGAGTCACAAAGGGCTTCCAGCTTCTTGGCCCATTTCCAAGACTCAGAGGAACCCAGGGCAGTGTTGGGGGGTGGGGGGGGGACGGCAGGCATGCTGGGAGGAGGGGGTTCTTTCCACAACCCCCAACACACCCCAATGTGTCTGCTTGTCAAAAGCTTGAAATGCCCTTAAAAATAGCAGTTGGCTACATCCCCCCCGTACACTATTTAAGTAGTTTTCTTTTAAATCAATTCACTTTTTAAATTTTTATTTAGACTTAGTTTTAAAGGAAACATTTAATCCCTGCTGTAAATGAGAAGCCAGGATTAAGGGTGAGGTCTTTGCTGGTGGTGCCCCGCCCATCTCCCCTCCCACAGACCAAATTCCAGCTGCCAGCACCTGCCCTTTTCCTGTGAGCTCTGCCCATCTGCGGGAGCTGGCAGAGCTGGGAATTAACACTCCAGGGAGCGCCCTCAACCACGATGGCAGGAGCAGGTGAATCCAGCCCTCAGCTCCCTCGCCACCCCATCTCCCCTCCGCCCTCCCCTCCCCCAGCGTGGATAACCCAGAGCTGCTTGGTTGAAACCAGAGGTCGGAAGCAGATTGAGCTCCAGGTGCCCAGGTGGCTACTTGCCTGATAACTCTCTGCATTGGGGTCCCTTCCTTCCTGGTCTCACTTCCCTGCTTCTCTACCAGTGTTTTCTGGGGTCACCTCCCAAGTAAACAACTTGCTTTCAATTGTTCAAATCTCTTAGGCAGCGGTTCTCAACCTGTGGGTCTCGACCATCGGAAAATACATATAGCATATCAGATATTTACGTTACGATTCATAACAGTAGCAAAATTACAGTTATGAAGTAGCAACGAAAATAATTTTATGGTTGGGGGTCACCACAATATGAGGAACTGTATTAAAGGGTCGCGGCATTAGGAAGGTTGAGAACCACTGCTAGGGATCTGCCTCTAGACCAGGGGTGGGCAAACTTTTTGACTCGAGGGCCACAATGGGTTCCTAAACTGGACAGGAGGGCCGGAACAAAAGCATGGATGGAGTGTCTGTGTGAACTAATATAAATTCAAAGTAAACATCATTACATAAAAGGGTACGGTCTTTTTTTTTTTTTAGTTTTATTCATTTCAAACGGGCCGGATCCCGCCCGCGGGGCCGTAGTTTGCCCACGGCTGCTCTAGAGGAACCCAACCCTAAGGCTCTTCTTACAAATTGAAGAATTTATTCAGCAAATTATACAAAAAAAGTGAAACAAAGCCAGACACCACTGTTGCTGATGGCTTGGCATTGGGATCTGCTCTGTTTCTTGGGAAGAAGGGTGGGAGGAGGCTGGTAAAGACACACAAGTCCCAGTGGGGCTGTTCCTGCCTGTGGCATAACCGGGAGGAGGATGAAAGGGAGCTGCCAGGACTCGCCATGGAGGGAGGTGATGGGATTCTACGCAGGTTCCCGGACCCCACACAGTTCCTCCAGCCCCGTCCATACTAGCCCATGGTCCTGAGAAACACTCCTGACAGGCCAGCTCCAAGCGGGATGCCTCCCC